AAAAAAAAAGAATTCATTTTCTCCAGGGTCCAAAGCTCCTACAGACCTAGCAAACACACAGCACCTAGTGGGTACTCACTGTGCATTGACTGAATGTGTTTCAGTGAAACTAATGGAAATACATAATAACATTATCATGTCAGAGCACAAATGCAAAGGAACAAAGCCTGGAGAAAAGCATGAAAAAGTAAAGCCAATTACGTAACCACCAACGTGTCTTCCTTACACAGACTTGCTATCATTTGCCACGTGGCTCTGACCTCAGTAGACCAGCAACAACCCTTACCTCCAGGGAAGAACCAGTCAGCATGCTGGATGATGGGCTCAATCACGGCGACCACGTGGACGGAGGTGGCCGCTGCCATCTCAGCCAGCGTTCTGCAAAGCAAGTTTGTAGAATCAGATGCCTCCTTCCCCTCCGCAGCCTCAGCCGGGCAACATGCTTATTTCTAAGCAATAAAACAGTTGACTTCACATGCACAAATAAAGCTCACAAGGTCCTAGACTATGAGTGCAGCAGTGCTAGTCCAGGAGGAAACCATTACCCAGCTGGCTATGGCTCTTCCCCTCTGCAGAGCGAGGGCAAGTTCCAGTCCTCTGCGCAGGACCAAGGGCAGTGATGCAGGAAGTCAAGAGGGTCAAAGAGCTGGCTTAAGTCGGCACAGGCAGCTCACACCTGTCATCCTAGCTACTCAGGAGGCTGAGATCTGAGGATCACGGTTCGAAGCCAGCTCGGGCAAGAAAGTCTGTGAGATTCTTCTCTCCAATGAACCACTAGAAAACCAGAAGTGGTGCTGTGGCTCAAAGAGAGAGCGCTAGCCTTGAGCAAAAAAGTTCAGAGAGCTGGGTGCCCAGGCCCTGAGTTCAAGCTCCATAACTGACCCCCGCCCCCCCAAAAAAAAGCTGGTTTAAGTTGATTAGGAACAGGGTTGCAGCAGCCTCCCACCTGGCAGCTAGCATCGAAGACCCCAGATGACTAAAAACCGTGTTTGCCGATACTGTCAGCTACAGTGTTCACTGCTGCAGTGTCCCGAGCTCACACTGAGGTGGGCACATGTAGGCTCCAGGCTCAGGGTGAGGGTCCGGGAGCTGAAAGTATCTAACATCTGGGCTCAGAAGGAAGAGAATGAGTAAGAACCATTATCCCTGCCCTTGAGGACCTAACTGGGCTCTTGGCTCTCACTGATTTGCACAATGAAGTGGTGTGAGACCTACTTTCCAGCTGTCTTTACCTTTATTTACTGTGACATGTGTGTGAGTAATTTTGTATAACTACTTTTTGTTGTTGTTTCCTTTTTGTGTTGGTCCTGGGGCTGGAACTAGGCCTCAGGCTGGAACTGTCCCTCAGCTTTTGGACTCAAGGCTAGCACTCCACCACTTGAGCCACGCCTCCACTTCCACGATCTTTGGTGGTTAGTTGGAGATAAGAGATAAGAATCTCCAGCCTGGGGCTGGGAAAGTGGCTCAGTGGTAGAGCGCTTGCCTCACATGCTCGAGGCCCTGGGTTCGATTCCTCAGCACCACATACGAAAAAAGCCGGAAGTGGCGCTGTGTCTCAAGTGGTAGAGCGCTAGCCTTGAGCTGAAGAGCTGAGGGACAGCGC